ACATACAGAAGTTGAAATTCACAAATCGAACCCGGACTTTTGGTATTTTCTCCGTAGAAAAGGCAAGAAAAAAGGTCTCTTCATGAAGGAGGTCGCTAAAACACGATCAGTTCCAAGTTTCAACGAAAAGGTACGTGCATCCGATTTATTCTAGGGCAGCACCATCTTGATGTTGGGAATTAACAGCATATTAACCCCCATACGATCGATTAAAAAAAAAAGAAACTCTAAGAAGAAATCCTCCAAAATGTTCCATGAATTTGAAGCATCAAAAGCTGATTGCCAATTGACCAAAAACTCAAACCCGCTCTGCTTAGAGGAAGGAGTCCAAATTCTCTACGAAAATGAAGAACAGATATACAAAGAAGCTCGGTAGAGGGAAACAAAGAGAAATTTACCTTCTCCGGAATGGCCATCGTTATCTGCTACTCTGGGCTTCTGCTTCAGAAGAAAAAAATCCCAATCAAATTCGAATGCTTGAAGACAACGCAGGAGAAGGCGAAACCCAAGGAAGCTATATACAGAACCGTTGGACTATAATACCCTTATCTTATGGGGTACTTCTTGTCTAGATCCATTAGGATTTGCATAATTGGATGAGAAATTTTCCATTTGACTTCACACAATTTTATCGGGAAATTGGGATTTTTGACTCCTTTCAATAACCACTCTGTATTTTTGACCCCATTTTGTTTTTTACTTATTCATGACCCCTTCACCTCAGATTTCTGACCCTTCTCTTATTTTATCATGTAAATTGACTAAATTGCTCTCATTTCATAATAAATGCATTTATGATATAATAAATTTCAAACCAACCCACCAACCACAAACTTAGGGAAATTGGGATTTTTGACCCCTTTCAATAACCACTCTGTATTTTTGACCCCATTTTGTTTTTTACTTATTCATGACTCCTTCACCTCAGATTTCTGACCCCTCCCCTTATTTTATCATGTAAATTGACTAAATTGCCCTCATTTCATAATAAATGCATTTATCATATAATAAATTTCCAACCAACCCACCAAACACCAACTTAACAATTCTCACTTTGTTTTTTCAACTCCAAATCATCACACACACACGCAAGTCACGTTTTTTTTTTCCAATACTCAAGATTTTCTCCACGTGATTGTTGGCCCACATTATCCAATCGATCGGTCCCCACATAATCTGTTATCTCGAATCCATTGTTTTCACAATATAGGTATGTCCATTTCATCATTTTAGAATATTGTACTTCTTCAAACTTGTAATGATACGAAATTTTATCATTTTTCTAGAAAAAAACGTTATTTTACGGAAAACAGAAATGAAGTCTAGAATTTATCTTGGACCGGGATTGGTACCGGGATGAAATTTAGAACCGGGTTTGAGATCGAGATAGAAGGTAAACTCAAGCCCGGTCCTTCATGTCCAGATACGACCGGGACCGGGAYCGAGATGGGGATAAACTGGGGTAGACCGGGATAGGGATTGGGACCGGGATAGGGATTGGGACCGGGATAGGGACTGGGACCGGGACCAGGATAGGGACTGGGATCGGGACCGGGATAGGGACTGGGACCGGGACCGGGATAGGGACCGAGACCATGCAATATAAATCTTGAATTTTTCTTGTTTGTTTGTAAATTTATTGATTTGTATTTAATTATAGTGTTTTGGATTATTTAATTTGTAAATTTAGTAGTAGCTTATGATTGTTGTTTTGTTTAAGCTACTAAAAAAAACACTTTTTGTAATGGGATGGATGGATGGAGCCCATGTTTCCTACTTTAATAAATCAATTATTATTATTTTTGTTGTTACTGCTTGCCTACTTTCTCAAAATCATACAGTATTCTTTCTCTTACATGCTCATTCTCGTTCGTGGTAATTTTCGTTGATTTTCGTTGTACTTCTAAAAAAATTTATCCTTATTGTCATCACGGTCGCTTACTTATTACGCTATTTTTCTTCTTCCACATTATTATATATCCACTTATATGCTGTTAATCCTTCACGATGGCGTCTCATTTTCGTTCAAGCTCATTCTCGTTCAAGCTTATTCACGATCTCTTTCGTTATCTGTTTTGCACTCTCGCTGCTATTTTCCACTGCACCCGTTTATTCTCAATAGACTGAAATCGAATAAGTACTAAAAAAAAAAATAGATGTAGCCTTTCTTTAATTTAAAAAACATCAACCAACAATTGAAAGAATTAAATTTCACGTCTTTTCATCTCTCTCACTCTCGTTCATGCACGCTCTCGATCAAGCCCATGCACGTTCTAGATGTACGCTCTCGTCAAGCTCATGCACGCTCTCGTTGTACGCTCTCGATCAAGCTCATGCACGCTCTCGATATCGATCACGATCAACCTCATTCACGCCCTCGTCAAGCTCATGCACGCTCTCGCTGTACGATCTCGATCAAGCCCATGCACGTTCTAGAAAGCCCGAGATGGAATCCAGAAAACATCTCGGGCCTCGTCCCCATCCATTTCGAACCGGGATGAGTCCCAAGATGGATTCCAGAAGGATGGTCTTTCTGGATACCATCTCGGTCTTTATCCCGGTCTACTTCGAACCGGGATGAGGCCCGAGATGGAATCTAGAAAGTCCATCCTTTTGGAATGGACTTTCAGGGTTTCATCCTGGTCCTAAATCCACCGGGCTTAAAGCCGAGATGGAACCCTGAAAGTCAAAAATTAAAACAAAACAATGGAAGCAACAATAAATCAAACTTCATAATAACCTTGGCTACTTCAGATAGAGCCGAAGGTTGAAATCATTCACACCCACGCAAAGAACGAAGAAAAAAAGGTAGAAAATCATTCACAATAAGATAGCAAGTTCGAAAGAAAAATTACCTCAATTAGGGAAGGGGGAAAGCTCTGATAGAGACGAAGTGAGGGGGACGAAGAAGAAACGACGGAGATGAACTTTCTGATTGTGAGGGAGAGACCGGGATGAAGACTGGGATGAACAACGAGATAGTGAATGAGGGAGGGGAAGGATTGAGACAGGGAGGGAAAGGAAGGGAGGGCTGGGTTTGATTTCTTTTTTTAAATTGAGGGTAACTTGGTAATTTTACAAAACAAAATAAGGGGAGGGGTCAGAAATCTGAGGTGGAGGGGTCATAAATAGGAAAAAATCAAAAGGAGGTTCAAAAGTCCAAAGTGGTTATTGAAAGGGGTCAAAAATCCCAATTTCCCAATTTTATCGAGCCATTTTTGAAAAGAAAAACAATTACTTTTGAGAAATTTCTCTAATTTTTATGCTAGAGAATTTTCAATCAACGTTTAACTGCTATTTTTTTGCTCTCAAAATATTTATTTTAATCTAAATATTTGAAAACTCATCTTTTTATTTTGCTCACCTTATCTCATTTTTTTTTAAATGTAACCAAATTTTATATTAAGAAATTTTGTTTGGAGTAGAATTTATATTAAAATTTCACGAATAAAAGTTAAAATAGTCCATTTTCAAAAATGCATAAATTATAACAAGTATTTTGATGATAATATAATTAAAATAAAATAAGCAAATGTCGAGAATACAGAAATAGGTTTTTTTTTCACTTGCAAAATTAAACCATTTTTTTAGTATAACATGTGGAGCGACGTGGGGACGTAAAAAAGGGGAAGTGGAAACAAAAATGCAAAATGAAAATTACAATTTGGGCAACAAAATTGCAATATTACGTAAACGAAGTCGAAAGTCAGAAGACTAGAAGAGGGTATTCTCGTAAATAGTTCCATTTAATTTACGGGTTGCGGGTCGCGGTTGGCCTACGAATACGGACCCGAAAATGATGCGATTTGAGGCCATATTTTTCCAGGTTTGCGGGTTAGAATTTCCCAACCGGATCAGGGAAATTCAAGGACTTCGTAGAATGTTGGGGGATTGTGTTGGAAAACTCTGGAGGCGAAGACCAATTTCAAAGCCTTGGGTGCAAAACTTCAACTTCTTCTCCTTTTATTCCTTTTTTTTCATTTTTTTTCTTCACGACTTTATAGGTTGAATGGGGAATTGAATTTTATATGCTAACTTTAGACCCATTAACCGCCGGTAATGAGCGAAAACCCAATTATTCCATTTAAAACATCACCACTCATTCTTATGCTGGGGAGGTTCAAATATCGAATAAAAAAATAGTTAGGAAATCCTGGGTAATTGCAAAATCCACGCCACGCTAATAAAATTAATTTTTAAAAATAGTCTACACCTTTTTTTGAAAAAAAA